CGCGCGCCGGACGGCCGAAGCCTGCCAAGAGCGTCGAGCTAAGCAGCAGGGAGCCTCCGGCTGGTTGCCCAGCTAGTGACCTCCCGCCGCCGAACCGTCTATTCAAGGCCCAACGCGCCCGATCCTTAGAGCCAATCCTTTTCCCGAAGTTACGGATCTGTTTTGCCGACTTCCCTTATCCACATTGTTCTATCAACCAGAGGCTGTTCACCTTGGAGACCTGCTGCGGTTATGAGTACGACCTGGCGTGAGAATTATTCCCTCCCGCGGATTTTCAAGGGACGTCGAGGACGCACCGGACCCAGCAGAAGCGCTGGGCTCTTCCGACCGTTGAACCCTATCTCCGGACAAACCGATTCCAGGGTGATAGATCGTTAAGAAGAAAAGAGAACTCTTCCCGGGGCCCCCGCCGTCGTCTCCGCGTTCGGTTGCGTTGCCGCGCAAAACCCACATCCAGGTGCTGGAATATTAACCAGCTTCCCTTTCGCTATACGGGGCAAAAGCGCCCCTTTGAAACGGAACTTCCCTATAGCTTAGGATCGACTGACCCACGTCCAACCGCTGTTCACATGGAACCTTTCCCCACTTCGGTCCTTCAAGTTCTCATTGAAGTATTTGCTACTACCACCAAGATCTGCACTAGAGGCCGTTCCACCCGGACTCACGTCCTAGGCTTCGTCACCGACCTCCACGTCCGCCTACTCCTCGACGCGCCGAGCCCGCGCCGAGGGCGAGGTATGGGTGGGACGCTTGAGCGCCATCCATTTTCAGGGCTAGTACATTCGGCAGGTGAGTTGTTACACAGTCCTTAGCGGATTCCGACTTCCATGGCCACCGTCCTGCTGTCAAGATGTACTAACACCTTTTGTGGTGTCTGATGAGCGTCCACTCCGGCACCTTAACCTCGCGTTCGGTTCATCCCGCATCGCCAGTTCTGCTTACCAAAAATGGCCCACTAGTGTTGTTTCATTCCAGCGTCCGCGTTCAATAAAGTAACGGGGACTTCTTACATATTTAAAGTTTGAGAATGGATGAAGGCTAAATAGCGCCCCCGAGTCCCTAATCATTCGCTTTACCTCATAAAACTGGGATCAACACTGCTATCCTGAGGGAAACTTCGGCGGAAACCAGCTACCAGAAGATTCGATTAGTCTTTCGCCCCCATGCGCATGTTTGACGATCGATTTGCACGTCAGAACCGCTGCGAGCCTCCACCAGAGTTTCCTCTGGCTTCACCCTACACACGCATAGTTCATCTTCTTTCGGGTCCAACCCTATATGCTCTCACTCAAATCCGTCCGAGGACATCAGGATCGGTCGGTGATGCGCCGAAGCTCTCACCTACGTTCACTTTCATTCCGCGCTGGGGTTTTACGCCCGGGCACTCGCACATAAGGTTGACTCCTTGGTCCGTGTTTCAAGACGGGTCACTAGCTACCATTACGCCAGCATCCTTGCGGAGCGCGTACCTCAGCCCCCCGAAGGGTATGACGCGACGGGCTATAACACTCCCCCGAAGGAGAGCCACATTCCCGACGCCTTTGCCCCCGACGGAAAGCTGATGCTGGCCTGGGCCGGCGGAGTGCCCCAGGTCATGGACCTGGTTGAACCACCGAACCCACGTCTGGTAGCGAGCGCTTCCCTTTTAACAATTTCACGTGCTGTTTGACTCTCTTTTCAAAGTACTTTTCATCTTTCGATCACTCTACTTGTGCGCTATCGGTCTCTAGCCGGTATTTAGCCTTGGAAGGAGTATACCTCCCCTTAGAGCAGCATTCCCAAACTACTCGACTCGTCGAGGGAGCTTCACATGAGCATGGTTTCCTACCAGACGGGGCTCTCACCCTCTATGGCGTCCCGTTCCAGGGAACTCGGAAGGAACCATAACTCGAAGCATCCTCTGCAAATTACAACTCGGACCCCGAAGGAGCCAGATTTCAAATTTGAGCTGTTGCCGCTTCACTCGCCGTTACTAAGGCAATCCCTGTTGGTTTCTTTTCCTCCGCTTATTGATATGCTTAAGTTCAGCGGGTATTCCTACCTGATCCGAGGTCAACCGTTGCCGCACGAGGCGGGCTTGTAGGGGGTTTAGAGGCAAGTGCCTGCGGGACTCCGATGCGAGCTGTAATTACTACGCAAGGAAGGGCCACGCGGGTCCGCCACTGCTTTTAAGGGCCTACAGACGTAGATCCCCAACACCGGGCCACTGGGGCTCGAGGGTTGAAACGACGCTCGGACAGGCATGCCTCCCAGGATACTGGAAGGCGCCATGTGCGTTCAAAGATTCGATGATTCACTGAATTCTGCAATTCACACTACATATCGCGTTTCGCTGCGTTCTTCATCGATGCTAGAGCCAAGAGATCCGTTGTTAAAAGTTTTAATAGTTCGCTAAGAACACTCAGAAGTATCGTTGGTATGAATAAAGAGACTGATGTACCGGCGGGCTCGCAGAACGAGCCGCCGAAGCAACAATATGGTTCACAAAGGGTTATGAGTAGATACTCGGTAATGATCCCTCCGCTGGTTCACCAACGGAGACCTTGTTACGACTTTTACTTCCTCTAAATGACCGAGTTCGGATAACTTTCCGGTCCAGAACGGGGGTCGCCCCCCACTCCGGACCAGTCCGAAAGCCTCACTGAGCCATTCAATCGGTAGTAGCGACGGGCGGTGTGTACAAAGGGCAGGGACGTAATCAACGCAAGCTGATGACTTGCGCTTACTAGGGATTCCTCGTTGAAGAGCAATAATTGCAATGCTCTATCCCCAGCACGACGGGGTTTCACAAGATTACCCGGACCTTTCGGCCAAGGCAGTACTCGCTGGCCCCGTCAGTGTAACGCGCGTGCGGCCCAGAACATCTAAGGGCATCACAGACCTGTTATTGCCTCAAACTTCCATCGGCTTGAGCCGATAGTCCCTCTAAGAAGTCGGCGTACTACCGGGGTAATACGGACTATTTAGCAGGTTAAGGTCTCGTTCGTTATCGCAATTAAGCAGACAAATCACTCCACCAACTAAGAACGGCCATGCACCACCACCCACAAAATCAAGAAAGAGCTCTCAATCTGTCAATCCTCGTTGTGTCTGGACCTGGTGAGTTTCCCCGTGTTGAGTCAAATTAAGCCGCAGGCTCCACCCCTGGTGGTGCCCTTCCGTCAATTTCTTTAAGTTTCAGCCTTGCGACCATACTCCCCCTGGAGCCCAAGCACTTTGATTTCTCGTAAGGTGCCGAACGGGTCAAGAAATAACACCGTCCGATCCCTAGTCGGCATAGTTTATGGTTAAGACTACGACGGTATCTGATCGTCTTCGATCCCCTAACTTTCGTTCCTGATAAATGAAAACATCCTTGGCAAATGCTTTCGCAGTAGTTAGTCTTCAATCGATCCAAGAATTTCACCTCTGACGATTGAATACTGATGCCCCCGACTGTCCCTATTAATCATTACGGCGGTCCTAGAAACCAACGAAATAAGACCACACGTCCTATTCCATTATTCCATGCTAATGTATTCGAGCATAGGCCTGCCTGGAGCACTCTAATTTTTTCAAAGTAAACGTCCTGTTTCCCCGACACCCCCAGTGAAGGAGATGCGGTTCCGCAGAAGGTGAAGCCCCGGCCGAACCAGTGCACGCGGTGAGGCGGACCGGCCGACCGGAGGCCGAGCTTCTACTACGAGCTTTTTAACCACAACAACTTTAATATACGCTATTGGAGCTGGAATTACCGCGGCTGCTGGCACCAGACTTGCCCTCCAATTGTTCCTCGTTAAGGGATTTGAATTGTACTCATTCCAATTACAGGACCCAAAAGAGCCCTGTATCGGTATTTATCGTCACTACCTCCCCGAGTCGGGATTGGGTAATTTGCGCGCCTGCTGCCTTCCTTGGATGTAGTAGCCGTTTCTCAGGCTCCTTCTCCGGGGTCGAGCCCTAACCCTCCGTCACCCGTTGCAACCATGCTAGGACAATACCGTAGCATCGAAAGTTGATAGGGAAGAAATTTGAATGAACCATCGCCGGCGCGGGGCCGTGCGATTCGAGAAGTTATCATGAATCACCAAGAGAGCCCCGAAGGGCATTGGTTTTGTATCTAATAAATACATCCCTTCCGAAGTCGGGATTTTCAGCATGTATTAGCTCTAGAATTACCACGGTTATCCATGTAGTAAGGTACTATCAAATAAACGATAACTTATATAATGAGCCATTCGCAGTTTCGCTTTGTAATTGCTTATACTTAGACATGCATGGCTTAATCTTTGAGACAAGCATATGACTACTGGCAGAATCAACCAGGTAACTATCGTGCGCCGGGGATGGCCATCGGGGCGCCGAAGCACCACCGAAGAGATATTTAGTCACCGGTGTCACGTTCGCTAGGAACGCACCGCCGGCAGGCAACTCAGGCATAGCCCGCGAGGCCCGCTAACGGCATCCACCTTACCCCTCTGAATTCCCCAGGGCACCGTTCACCACGCAGCATCCACCGCAGGCGGGGAGTGCGAGGCTAGAGCGCCCCGAGAGGAGAGCCCGGCACGCGGCGTCAGCTGGTCGGCTTCCACCACGCGCGTCGTCTCCCGCTGCTCTAGAAGTAGGTTTGGCCAACGGCCAGTCACCCACAGAGCCCATCTTGCGTCGCTGTAGAGGCGAACCTCTCAGCGCCGTAAGGCAACTCCAGTTTGGTAGACCGCCTGGGCGGCTACCTCCGTGGAGGTTGAACGCTGCTCGGTAGCCCCTTGAACCGGTAGGCTCGTAACAGGGGCACTAAATAGCGTTCGATATGATATGGAACAGTGTTCGGCGGATTCTCATTACTGAAAGACGCACTGAGGCGCCCGCCCGGGTTCTGCTTTCGCTTTCCCCTTCTTACATACCCTGGGTCCTGTTTTTGGTGGGCACGCCGCTGCAGCCGAAAGTCGTTGATCTTTTTTGGTGAGGGCCCCACTCTGACTATGGGAAAATTTGGAGAACGGATTTTGACAACTTTTTTCATGGCTCACACGGAACCAACTCTGCCAAACGGCCACAGGTGCCCACGCACGCCCCAGTGGGCTGCAGCCGCCCTGCGCCGTTCCGAGGGTCGTCGGCGCCTCGATGTTGCCCAATTCCCGGGTAGCCCCCAATTCCCGGGTAGCTCGCCACAACCTCAATTCCACTACTACGGCCGCCACAACGCTGCTGCGGCGATGCACGACCGGTTATGGGGTAATCCGAGTATGCTTGTTCGGTTGCGATGCATTTCTTTTAGCGTTCTACCGTTTTTGCGGAGCAATACGACTTCTCACCAGAAACCCAACAAGAATATCATTACATGATAAGCAGACTTTCGAGACCTAAAACAAATAATACTAAAGTACATATAATATTTTCAATGGTCAAATATACTAAAGACGATACGCTCTTTCCAGTACACTAGAAAAGATAGCGTGAAACGGCCAGGTGGTGGAGGAATCGGCGAATTCGTCCCCCAATTCCCGGGTAGCACCTCCCAATTCCCGGGTAGCTCCCAATTCCCGGGTAGCCCGCAATTCCAGGGTAGCTCCCAATTCCCGGGTAGCTCCCAGGTGTCTGACTTGGCCGTCTTGCAGCCAACTACCCAAAATCCGTTCTCCAGATTCCCAATTCCCGGGTAGCCCGCAATTCCAGGGTAGCTGTCCGACTTGGTCGTTTTCCGGCCAACTCCCGGGTAGCTGCCAGCGTCAGCACTGGTTCCAATTCCCGGGTAGCTGTCCGACTTGGCCAGTTTTCAGGTCCAATTCCCGGGTAGCTGTCCACCTTGACGCCAAAAAATCCCACCACCTCCATAGATGGTAGGATCTCTGGCCACTTCCAGACACCACCTACCCGGGAATTGAGAAAAAAAATCTCTCGGGCCCCAGAGGGGCCCCCTGAAAGATCCCGCGCCGCAGGCGCGTAGTCCGCGGCAGCGGACGCCGTAGGCGGCCGTGACAGCGGTGTTTGCCTTGCAACGCACAGCGAAGACGCGGCCAGACGACAAAGAGGTCTG